GGGGAGGATTGGAAAGGGAGCAATTCCCCTATACTCTTCTGGTCTTGTTACAGGATCCAGGATCCTGAGAAAGTATAACCTTTTTGTCAGAAAATGAACTTCTTCCCTAGAATTATATCAAAGTGGTGAGTGTTTCCACTTAACAGTCCAAGAATCCTGTTTGGAAGTAATTGAGGTTAGCAGTGACCACTAAGTCTTGGAGAACTTTATGATCTGAGGTCTAATAGGGATTTCATTGACAGTTTCTTGTTGTTTTCTTTCTAATTCTTGAAGTTGTAGGGTTAAATAGGTTATTATTAATCTTTCTTTCTTTTTTTTTTTTTAAATTTTTCTTAATTTAGGTAGTCCTGTAATGCTATGAACTTCACTCTTCAGACTGATTTTGCTATGTCCCAGAGATTTTGGGTTATGTGTTCATTTTCATTTGTTTGCAGGACATTTTTTCTTTCTTTCTTGATCTCATTGATAGCCCATTCATTTTTTAATACCATGCTATTTAGCCTCCATGTGTTTGAATGTTTGTGAATGTTTTTATTGTAGTTGATTTTTAATTTCATTTCATTGTGATCCAAGAAGATGCTTGACATGATTTCAATCTTCTTGAACTTATAGAGACTTGGTTTGTATCCCAACATGTGGTCTATCTTTGTGAATGATCCATGTGCACTTGAGAAGAATATATATTCTGCAGCTTTGGGATGTAATGTTCTATAAATATCAATTAAATTCATCTGATCCAGTGTGACATTTAGAGTCACTCTTTCCTCATTAATTTTTTGTCTGGAATATCTATCCAACAAAGTCAACGGGGAATTAAAGTACCCTACTATAATTGTATTTCTGTCTATCTTTCCCTTAAAGTCCTCTAGAAGTTTTTTGTTTGTTTGTTTGTTTGTTTGTTTAGATGCACCCATATTGGGTACATATATATTTACTAGGGTTATATCCTCTTTCTTTTTTTAATATATTTTATTGATTTTTTACAGAGAGGAAGGGAGAGGGATAGAAAGTTAGAAACATCGATGAGACAGAAACATCAATCAGCTGCCTCCTGCACACCCCATACTGGGGATGTGCCCGCAACCAAGGTACATGCCCTTGACTGGAATCGAACCTGGGACCCTTGAGTCAGCAGGCCGATGCTCTATCCACTGAGCCAAACCAGTCAGGGTGAGGGTTATATCCTCTTGTTGGATCGATCCCTTTAATATTATTAAATGACCTTTGTTGTCTCTTGTGATGGCCTTCATTTTGAAATCTATTTTGTCAGATATGAGTATTGCTACCCCAGCTCTTTTTCCGTTTCCATTTGCTTGGAAATTTTTTGCCATCACTTGACTCTCATCCTATGTGAGTCTTTTGTTCTGACGTGGGTATCTTATAGACAACATACAACTGGGTCATGTTTTTGTATCCATTCATGTACCCTATGTCTTTTGATTAGAGCATTTTATCCATTTATATTTAACTAGATGAGTGGCCCTCGGTGTGGCCTCCCAGGATTGGGCTGAAACTGGCAGTCCAACACTGCCTGCTGCTCCTGCTCATCCTGGCCCATATAGACTAGAGGAGTGGCCCTCGGTGTGGCCTACCAGGATTGGGCTGAAACTGGCAGTCCAACACTGCCTGCTGCTCCCACTCATCCTGGCCCCACGGCGCCTGCGGTGGGTTCACGCCCAGTCAGTCTTGATCATGAGAGGCCCGTCAGTCAGCTGAGTAGCATTCCTGCTGTGGGAACGCACTGACCACAAGGGGGCAGCTCATGTGTTGAACGTCTGCCCCCTGATGGTCAGTGAGCGTCATAGTGATCAGTCAACTGGTCGTTTGGTTATTTGGCCACCTAAGCTTTTATATATATATATATATATAGATGTTATTATTGATAGGTACTTATTTATTGCCATTTTACTTCTTTCTGCATATGTTTCTCTCTCTCACTATTTCTTCTACACATTACAACAGTCCCTTTAACATTTCTTGCAGTGCTGGTTTAGTGGTGATAAACTCCTTTAGTGTTTTTTGTTTGTTTGTTTTGGTTTTTTTTGTCTGAGAAGCTCTTTATTTCACCATCTGTTTTGAATGATAGTCTTGCTGGATATAATCATCTTGGTTTCAGATCCTTGCTTTTCATTACCTTGAATATTTCATGCCATTCCCTCTGGCCTGCAGAGTTTCTGATGAGGAACCAGCTGACAGCTTTATTGGAGTTTCTTTTTAGGTAACAAAGTGCTTTACTCTTGCTGCCTTTAAGATTCTCTCTTTGTCATTAATTTTTGTCATTTTAATTACGATACGTCTGGGTGTGGGCCTGTTTGTGTTCTTCTTGCTTGGGACTCTCTGAGCCTCCTGAACTTGTGTGACTTTTCCCTTTACCAGGTTAGGGCAGTTTTCTGCCATTATTTCTTCAAATACATTCTCTATCCCTTGCTCACTTTCTTCTCCTTCTGGCATCCCAATTATGCAAATATTGTTACATTTCATGTTGTTTCACTGCTCCCTTAAGCTGTCCTCCTGTTTTTTATTTTTTTTTATTTTCTCTGATTGAGTGATTTTTTTCTACCCTGTCTTTTAATTCACTTATCTGATCCTTGGCTTCCCATAATCTGCTGTGTATTCCTTCCACTGTGTTCTTTATTAGCGCTATGTCATTCTTTATTTCTGACTGGTCTTTTTTCAAAAGTACTATATCTTTTCTCACACTGTTGAGTATCCTTGCCATCATTATTCAGCACTCTATATCAGATAAATCTCTTATCTCCATTTCATTTTGCTCTTCTTCTGGAGCATTTTCTTGTTCTTTCATTTGGGGGTTGCTGTTTTTTTGTCTCCCCGTTTTGGCTGCCTGTTTGGGTTTGTGTTGATGTATTAGGTAGATCTGCTATGACTCCCAATCTCTAGTGCAGGACAGTGTCAGATGCTGTTTCTGACTGGCACTGAGTACCCTGTTTGGGGCTATCAGCAATTCACAGCTTGTGGCTCCCTCTGCTGGGGCTGAGTGCCTTTTCTACCAGCTTCTTTCTGATGGGCTTGTACTTTCTAGAGATTCCCTTATATTTATGACTTTTGGACCAAATGTTCTAATGATATAAGATGGCAGCATTCTTGCCTGTCTTTTTATAACTCAAGAAATATAACCAGTGTGGTCTGTTGTATTCTGTATTTCCAAAAGCTGTTGAAATTAGTCCAAGTATTTCAGCAAACTTGGTGAAAATTACCTTCTGATACTTGCCACTCTTCCAATCCAGGCTTCAGAGGTCTCTGTACCAGGATCCTGCACTGTATTACCTCAAAATGCATTCTGTTTGGGTATGTCCTAGTTTTTATAGCCTTTCTTACTTTCTTGAATGGCATGTGTAGGTTCAGAGCTGTAGGGATGTACCAAATACCCCAAAGTGTCTTGTCACATCTATTGCTGCTTCTTACACCATCACTTGGTCTCTCTCTCTCTCTCTCTCTCTCTCTCTCTCTTTTTTCTAGAAAAAGGCCAGTCACTTTAGAATTTCAGTGTCTGAGGAAAAAGGCTTAAATATAACTTTCCAAACACTCTCTTGAGTCTGCAGGCCGACTGGTCTTCCCAGAGATTAAATAACAATCAACATCATGATCAAGCTCTCAAAAAAAAATGACCACTTTTTCCCTTTTGATCATCCAGTAACTTTATACCTGAGGAAGGATATTAAGACAAACTGTAGGGACTTTCAGTTTCAGATTTGTCACAGTTCCCTGCATGTCCTCTAAAGCCAGCAATGATCTCTGAGAGTGCACTTCTATCTCTTCTCACTGTTCATGGTATTGATGTCCACCAGCCCAGGATTCCTAATAATAATCTGATAGAATCCTGAAAATGCAATCTGAATTTTTCCAGCTTTCAAGTTTCTGTGGACATAAAGGAGAATAAATTAACATTAAGATTTGACTTTTCTTGAAAGTTATTCCAACTTATTGATGCAGGACATCTTCAATATTTTCCATAGTGATTTCTGAAAATTTTCATCTTTCTTACTAATGCTTGTACGCATAATCACGTCCTGCTCCCACCTCCTTATTGATATTTTCTGCCTGTGAGCATATTATTAATGGAGATGCTTACCTAGAGTACTAACTCTCAGTATTCTTAAAAATAAAACTGCTCAAAATTTTACACAGAAATTAGAGGACTGCATTTTTTCCAACTCTGTATTTCGCTCTGTCTCTTAAACTTGAAACAATGTTGCTTATGCCCAGACTCTAACTGAAACTCTTGCTAAAAAGAGAGTCCTTTCAGTTTCTGCTTATATAGTGTTTCTGCATAGTGGTCACATCTAGTTTCTGCAGCACATTTGGGGCTCATACCATCCTCTCCATCTCCAATAACTCCAGAGTTCCCAAGCCATATCTCCAAAGGACTTACACATAAACTTTCCTCTTGTTGACCCCTTTCCTCAGGAAAGGTGGGAATGGAAATGTATGTTGTCAGCTAAGAACTCATCTCAAAATCAGGCCAACCAAACTTGGTATGCTATTGTTGCTCTTATAGGTGATATACTCATCATTTGTATTGCATTTGGAAAATGATATGCTAAAACAGAATGATTGAATTTTTTAATGTCATTGAGTACAGATGTAAATGTATTCATTCATTCATTCAAGAAATATTTATTGAGTACCTTTTATGAGCCAGGACAGTTTTAGGAACTGGAAATAAAACAATCAGACACAATCCAGTCTTACAAAAACAGTATCTATAATAGTTAATCTCAATAATGATAATTCCATGCCTTCTATAAGAATTTAGGGAGAAAGCATTCCTAACATAAAAAATAACTTTCACTTTCTCACACTGCTACTCTTTTGTGTGACTACCAATTTATGCTGTGAATAGCTTTCAACAAATGTCAACTCTAGATTTTCTTCAGCAAAATGCAATTGAATATATGCCATTGCACAAATCTGTTCAGTCCTTCAATGTGCTATAACAATGTCCTACCTTTTTTCTTCTTTTTTTCTTTTTTCCCCCTCAGGTGTGTCAGTACCGATTCCAGTGCTTGGACTGAGGGATGAAAGCAAGGTGTTCGCCCGCAATACCACCTGTGTGCTGAATGACCCAAATTTCGTTGTTATTGGGTCCTTCGTAGCGTTCTTCATACCATTGACGATTATGGTGATCACCTACTTACTGACGATTTACGTTCTTCAAAGACAAGCTCTGATGTTACTGCGCGGCCACACCGAGGAACTGCCCAAGATCAGCCTGGATTTCTTGGAGTGCTGCAAGAAGAATGCCACCGAGGAAGACAACGCTGCTAACCCTAATCAAGACGTGAGACCTCGCCGAAGAAAGAAGAAAGAAAAACGTCCCAGGGGCACCATGCAAGCTATTAACAATGAACGAAAAGCATCGAAAGTCCTTGGCATTGTTTTCTTTGTGTTTCTGGTCATGTGGTGCCCGTTTTTTATTACTAATATTCTGTCGGTTCTTTGTAAGAAGTCCTGTAATCAACAGCTCATGGAAAAGCTTCTGAATGTGTTTGTTTGGATCGGCTATGTTTGTTCAGGAATCAATCCTCTGGTGTACACTCTTTTCAACAAAGTTTACCGACGGGCTTTCTCCAACTATCTGCGCTGCAATTATAAGCCAGAAAAAAAGCCTCCGGTCAGGCAAATTCCGCGAGTTGCTGCTACTGCTTTGTCTGGGAGGGAGCTCAATGTTAACATTTACCGGCCTACCAACGAACGCGTGATAAAGAAAGCTGATGACAATGAACCAGGGATAGAGATGCAAGTTGAGAATTTGGAGCTCCCGGAAAATCCCTCCAATGTGGTTAGTGAAAGGATCAGTAGTGTGTAAGAAAGCGCAACACAGTCTTTTCCTACAGTAATGCTGGTAATGTAGGAAAATATTCTTCTATGATCTCCTGCTGGTTCTAACTAATGTAAATACTGCTGTCTGAAAAAAAAAAGTGTTTTTTATATATAGCTTTGCAATCCTGTATTTTGCAATCATGTGTACAATAGTGAGATTTAGGGTTCTATATTTACTGTTTATAATAGATGGAGAATAACTTATTTTGATTCTTTGATGCATAAAATGTTGATTGTTTTCTTTCCCTTCCTTCCTTCCTCCCTGCCTCCTTTTCTTCCTCTCTCTCTCTCTCTCTCTCTCTCTCTCTCTTTCTCTTGCCTTCTTTTGTGAATAAGGAAATGTTCATCTCAGGTGGCATTTGCAGGAGACCAGAATGATGCATATGACAGTGGTTGTATTTCAGCCACACCAAAATTAAAAATTCGGTGGAATCTTTTTCCAGGTTAACAGTAAATATATACTTTAAATTCTTGCTGTGCTGTGCTCATCCATCTACACACATAAACACAGTAAGATAGGTTCTGCCTTCCTATACTCTGTCATATCGTTAGTGAGGCAAAGGTAGAACGTAGCCTTTTTGTCACATATGGGGCAAAATTTGACATTGTCAGAGTGTTGTGTTGATATTGTACTGCAATGTCTGTCCCCAAACATAGTGGTATTTTAACATAAGCAGCTGGTTAACCGGGACTACAGAAGTGGAAGGATAATACGAGATACATCCACTAATAGCTTTTCACTTCTTAAGGACAATGTTCAAATTCTGATTATAATGACAAACAAATTGAAATCAATGTTTTCATTCTGGTCCTTAGTAAATACCTAATTACGTAACTAAACTGGGAAATGAGGTCCCAGGTTTATTTCCCAATCCAGAATTCAACATCAATTGGATTTTGATCTCAGGATCCTGGAAATTCGTGTGCTACACACAAAGTGAAATTAGCATTTTGAGCCTTATTAAAATATTTTTTTAATTATGGTACCTCTGTCTATAGGGCCCAATTTTGTAGTCCGTTTTTGAGTAAAACTTGCGTTGGAAGCATAGATGATCAAAACCTTGGGAGCTTTACTTGATTAAGGACTACAGAATGAGGCCCTTAGAATGTGAAAAAAGTAATTAAAAAGAAGCTTTTACTGAACTCTAGGAATAAGAGAAATACAGAGTTTCCATTTGGATTTTAAACAAAATTTATCTCATTTTCAGATCCTTCCAAACTCTAGTGCAGGAAAAGGCTGCAGCTAATTTGTGAAAGTGGCAAGCTCTTCATTGTACTGCAATTATGTACCAGAAGTTTAAACCTCTGCAGCTAATTTGTGAAAGTGGCAAGCTCTTCTTTGTACTGCAGTTATGTACCAGAAGTCTAAACCTTTGTTAAAATATAGTGTTGTGTTACAATCAGTGTTGGCCATTGTTTCATCCGTGGGCCTGCTGCTCTCTAAGAATTCAGTACCCCTTTACTAGCTTGTAAACCATGAAAGGTTTTCAGGCATTGCTACAGCCAGACCATTAAATCTATGCTGTGTGCAGAGTATACAATGTGTCCAGTAACTGTATTTCCATGTGTGTCCATCTCACACAACTGTGGAACAATTTCTGAAGAATTCATGATGCTATTTCTTATACCTGACAGTTACTTACACACCTGAAAGTGTGCCTCTCAGTATCCTGAAATTGGTGAAGGCAGAATCTGAATTTCTATGACCCCTGATCTGTGTCCTCAACACACAGCATAGAAAAATACAACAGTCTGCCACAGGGGCAGTGGGAGAGCTGCTGTACTTGAGGAAACTCATACAGTCTCTACTTGATTCACAACACTGCCAAATGTCAGTCAATTCCTTGAGCATGCCCAAATCTAACATGAAAGTAAAGCCTACCTGCCTGTTAGCTCTGTCGAACTGCATGTTAAAAAAATATATGAAATTGAATGAGATGATCTATTTCTTACTGAAATTAAATGTCTGAAGAAACAGCATGCAATGCGCATGAGTTGTGCACATACAGAGGGTGTCCTGCATGTATGCCATGTATGTTGCATGAATCCATCAATTTGTATTAATGTAGGGCAGAGTAGGTGATATCAAAGGACTGAAGAAAACCCGTCAGCAGTCCTTAAAAAGACCACACATTCAGATCTGAAGTATTTTGAGTATTAGAGAAAATTGGAAACATCTGATTTCTTAACTATCAGGGCAAGCTCATAGCACATGTTTTACACAGAAATAAAATATAAACCACAATGTTCAAAAGCACTGGCAATAAGTTGAATGATAATAGCTTATAGCACATTTGTTAATAATTCTTATGTCATCATATAGTAGTACTTAATAGTACCCAACACAGCAATTATTCTCAAATTGTGTGCTATTCGTAAGTTCTGTGCAGTTTGGTATGAAACAAATATACTTATTTGGATATAAATCTTACAGTTCAAGGTTAAATCTACAAACTTTTATAAGTGTTTTAAAAAGTCCATGTGATAACTGTGAACGTGGTGAATTTACTGTCAAACAAATCATTTTGATGAACTATTATATATGTATATCTGTTAAGAAACATGCAACAGACTGCCTTTATTATTTCCTGTAAAACTTCTCCATCATATGGTACTTTTTGTGAGTGGTGGCAAAGTGTTGTTTTATTCTTGGTTCCTGCATTTCCCCGCTCCAGGTGTTTGTGATACTTCCCATTAATTTATTAAATTTATTAAACGTTGGCTGATGTGTCATGTGTCTTTATTCCACCTGCATCATTTGAGGGGAAAATATATCACTTCACTTCATTTTCTTTTAAAATAAGTTGACACAGCCAGAAAATGCTGCTCTTCTGATTAATTCTGCATGTACTCAGAGACTGCACCACCGAAGGAAAAGACAATTAAGATGTGTAAACCACAAAAACAATATTAAAACAACATCACTGATTATGCATGAGCAGAATAACTGAACTACCAAATTATCTTACCTTCCTTCACCTGAGCAGGGACCTGGGTGGCACACGTGCTCTCCTTGTTATAAGTGTCATTGCTACCTTATTCCCACCAGACTCTAAGCTCCCCGAGAACAGGAAGGACCATGTCTATCTTATGGATGGTTTTATCCCCAATAGTTAGTGCTCACTATACATTCAACAGATATAGATTGAGCATCGGTACCTGTGGGCCTTGTATTATCTTTTAGTGTTGCCCAAATGGGCCTTACAATTCCCTGCTCTTCAGTCATGCACTGTAGCACAATCACCTTAACTTACCTCCATCCCAAATGGCTTTGGATATCTCTGCAATCATCAGAGTAACAATACTAAGCTGCTCGGTTCCTTCATACCCGGAGCCAGGGATGACAAAATACACATATACCTTCTTGATGCTGGGGGTGCCTAGGTGATATTGGTGTGACTTCAGTTCTCTGAGAAGAAAGCAGGAAAACCTTATTCCTTTGCAACAATGCCTAGGTTGATTCCTAGGAGTAGGTGAAGAAATAAAGGTTGAACTGACACTTGAAACAACAGGTCACTGCTGCCCATGGTCAGAAATATCTTGTACTATTGAAGCTAGGGGCTACTCTCCCCCAACAGCGAAGCAATGGGAAGATGTCGAAATTTCTGAAGGTAAAGAATTGGAGTGGTTACTACTATCGGAAAGGAAAGTGGGCAAGGGAAGGCTGAAGTGCCTCATTCTACAGCCTTGGAACTTCTTCATAGTTTGAAGACAGAAAGATGAGTCCTGTTATCAAGTGACAGTAAGTTTCTGCCAACTGCAGAAACACACAGTTCCTCAGCTCACGCTTAGGCCAATGCAATCTGCAAGGTTGAGGCTCATTTCTCTCTGTACATGTTAACATATTACCTACAGAGCCGAATATATTAGAAAGAGATGTTTGCACATGTTAACATATTACCTACAGAGCCGAATATATTAGAAAGAGATGTTTGTATAGGCCAGTGGTTCTCAACCTGTGGGTCGCGACCCCTTTGGCGGTCGAACGACCCTTTCACAGGAGTCGCCTAAGACTATCCTGCATATCAGATACTTACATTATGATTCATAACAGTAGCAACATTACAGTTATGAAGTAGCAACGAAAATAATTTTATGGTTGGGTCACAACATGAGGAACTGTATTTAAAGGGTCAGAAGGTTCAGAACCACTGGTATAGGCAATGCCAACAAAAGTAGGTGGCATCATAGTGGTTCTCAACCAATATGTGACCTATAGCATAGCTATAAACAAATGGTTCTAAGAGATAGGTTGGGTTCCCCAGAATGTAAACTCTGAGATGGAGATAAGTGTGCAGGATGTTTATTGGGAAGTGACCTTGGCATCCTTACGCACGGGGAAAGGGCAGGAAGTGGGACTGGGCAGAGGGAGGCGTCGGACCGTGACGCAGTTACAATAAGGGCTTATTCAATCTGTACCGGAGAAATATACTATTTCACTTCATTTTCTTTGAAACTTAAATTGAATTTTGTAAAAGAAATTCACAAAGGCAAACACAACCAGAAAGTATCACCCTTCATGACTAATTCTGCTTGTACTCGAAGACTACAATGCCAGGGGAAAGACAGTGAAGAGGTGTGAACAACAGAACACTTAGCTGACTCCCAGGAACTTTGAATCTAGGATATAATGGTATAATGAGCATCAGTATCTGTGGGCCTTGTATTATCTTTTAGTGTTGCCAAAATTCAGAGTCGTCCCAAGTTGAAGTGGGGCGACCAGACCTCTATACCTCCACTGGCCCCAAGAGAGTTGTATGACCTTATGCCGGTTCACGCTCTTCCAAAGATGCAGCTCCCAAACGGGGCTGATAGTGGAAAGCTGTCGGTCCACAGTCAGCCCAGCATCAGAGAACCAAGCCCTTCAGCCCTGAAGGTCGGATCTTGGCAGGACAGTATAGCATCTGTAACAAATAGTATGTTTATTGGGTAGGAGATAGTCACCACCTGGTCTACCACCTGCATAAATAACATGAAAGAACCTGGCTGGCTGTCACTTAAGCCAAAATCAAGAGAAAGGGAGGTGAAAGAAAAGATACGTTTTTATATATAGTTTGTCTTCTTATTAAAGGTATTCTCAATCAACAGCTTGCTAGGACTCTTAGATTTCTGAATCCATCAAGATAGCTTAGGCTAAGCTGTAATAAAAACCAATCCCAAAGTCTCAGTGCCTTAACAAAAACAAATGCTCATTTTGTTGTCAGCAAACCTGTGCTCACCATAGTTACTCTGGGAAAAATGGTGATAGAGGCCTCATCCTCACACGTGCTTCCACGTAGCAAAGGGAAGTGCACTTAGTGAACGTATTTCTTCCACTACATTTAATTTCTCCCACTACTGCTAATTTTCAATTTAATTCTAAATATAATCATATCCTTTTACCTTACCTATAGCATTGTTTATATCCTTAACTATATCCTTAAAACTATCTCTATATCTAATCCTATCCCTGCCCTTAACTTTATAATTAATTCTAACCCTAATTCTTGTCTCTAAATTCTAACATTATCACTATGATCCTGCCTTTCTGTAAACTGTAACATTATTCAAACTTCTGACCCTTCCCTTATTATTAACTCCAGTTATTTCCCTGCTTTTAACCCTCCTTAGAGCTAACTCTAAATTTACTTATAAGCCTACCTCTAAGTTCAAGCTCTAGCATTAATTACTTTTGCTTTCTTCTGAAAAATCCTTTTTTGTTTGTTTGTTTGTTTGTTTGTTAACACCCTAAGAAGCTGGACTGGAAAACACAGAAAGAAAAGTATGATTGCTCCTTTTTTACTTCTCTGTCTTAAAACGTCACACTCAAAACAGCTTCAAGTGACCTACTCCCTACACACTATCTGGGTATTATTAATTTTATTATAATTATCATTTATTGAGCACTGACAATGTGCCAAGCAAACATGCTTTGTTGTATGTAGATATGTTAGTATATTTAAAGTCTCCACTTTGCTATTGTGGAAATTGAGAATCAAAGAGGCAGTGGGTCTTCACCTAAGTCACTATGCTAGAAAGAGCAGAGATTGAACTATCTGGTTTCTAAGTCTGTGCTATTCCCAATATGCCATACAATTCCTTCTTAGAGTCCCACAGGCAAAACTGATTTCCTAGAGCAGAAATCATAACCCACTCCGAAGAGCATCTTTCTAAGTATGACCACTTCATAATGGGGTAAGAAAGTAGATTCCTTCACTCCTACCACTGAAATTAATAAGAATGGCCATGTATAGTCCACTATGAATCCCCATCATGAAAGAGCCCTTCCCTGAACAGGTTGGAAAGAAGGACAAGATTGGAACAAACAGCAACTAACATGAGATCAATAGTGACAAAGACCCTGCTTTCAGACAGAAGTGACTTGTTCATACTTAAGATGAAAGGGATACTTGAAACACTTATGACGATGAAGATTATGTTGTTGATGAGGCTCCAACATCAAAGAAAATACAATTACAATTTCATCAGTGTCTTGGTCCACTCAGGCTGCCACAACAAAACACCACACACTGGGTGGCTTATAAACAACAGAAATGTGTTTCTCACCATTCTGAAGGCTGGGTAGTCCACGATCATAATGTTAGCATGGCTGCATTCTGGTGAAGGTGTCTGCCGGATTGCAGAATACTTGTCTTGTCATGTCCTCACATGGTGGAAGGCACAAGGGGACTCTCTAGCGCCTTCCTGATAAGGGCACTAACCCATTTCTGAAGGCTCCTCCTCATGCCTAAGCATCTCCCAGAGGCCTACCTCTTAATACTGTCACATGGAGCATTAAAATTTCAACATATGAATTTGACCCAAACATCAAGGCCATGGCAAAGTTTAATTTTACTAGACAAAAAGGCTAAAACCTTATTTAAATATTTAATTCATAAATTAACTATATGGTTTTTATGCCCAGACCAAGATGAATTCCTCCCAGTTGGAGTATTCTTTCTGTGTAGGAGAATCTAACAGAGGTGGTCAACACAAAGTTCAAAAGACAACAACAGGCCCGGCTGGTGTGGCCCAATGGTCGAACATTGACCTATGAACCAGGAGGTCACGGTTTGATTCCCGGTCAGGGCACATGCCCAGGTTTCGGGCTCGATCCTCAGTGTGGGGCGTACAGGAGGCAACCGATCAATGATTCTCTCATCAACATTGAAGGGAGAGGGAGAGAGAAAAGAGAACAAAAAAAGCAGGAGAGACATTCAATTCCAAAACCTACTAGGACATTTGTTTACAGAACTGGCAATAATCACATAAAAGCTGCTCCTGGACACTCATGTAATTTGACACCTCCAATGTTTAGTTTTAAGGAGAACTTCGCAGGCATCTAAGTTCAAGGATGTGGGTTCCCAGTAAACCTTTGAAGTGTGGATCTACTCCAGTTTCAAGGTCTCCACCCTACCATTAAGCACTTGTCCTCTAATGCTTACTCCTTTCTTCTTTCTTGTAGTTATAATTTTTTTATTATAACAAATATTTTAATTTTTGACAATAATTTCAAGCAATATTTCAGGAAGCAATACATGAGAATATTTTATTCAGATTATTTTTGACACTTTTATTGATGCATAATCTATATATCCGGGCTGGTAGTACAAATGGAGATTCATTGCAAACAGTCATGAGGGAAGTTTTTGGGGTGATGAAAATGTTCTAAAACTGGGTTGTAGTGATGTTAGCACAGCTCTATCAATCTCCCTAAAATTATTGAAGTATACACTTACAA